GGGTGTTCGTTAGACGTTGCTATACTCAGCTCGACGAGCTCTATCGATTGGCTAACTCAGATTTTAATTTGGGGGTGTTCGTGGGCGTTCGTGGCTGTTCGTAGCTGTTCGTGGGTGTTCGCGTCTTTTAGCAATACCCCATTCACACACATAAACAAAAGAAGATAGGTCTACAGTTTACTTTCATGTTGTTTTTCTGTTTGTTATATCATACAGCAGACGGTATGTTGCCAATGTTGATTTATACGCGTTCACTAATAAAAATTTTCAGCTCCTAATTAACTTGAGACTCATCAGTCTTTTGTATCGGACATGTGTCATTGATATAAGAGTGTAATAGAGTGATATGGGATGAAGGAAGACACCTTTCAAAATTTTCATTATGTTTTTTCTAGTCCTCAGCAGGTTTTGTTCGGAAAAAGTAATGAAAAATTATATTTTCCAAAGATAATGAAACAAGATGACAGGAAATCCTTTTAACTAATATAGTAGTTACAAAAAAAAATATCACTTTTTCGGGATAGATTTGAACAGCTAATATTTCGTTCTTCTATTTTTTCTCATTCTTATTGTGCTCAGTCGTTTTTTATAATAGTTACAGTTGTGGTATTAAAATAAATCCTAATTTATTATTGGACTACCAATGTATCCGGCTAATTTCCAACCGACTTATGCTATTTCATTTTAAGATTTTGAGATCCTAAGATTTCCTTTACAAACGGCACATAAAAACGTCTCAAAGAGTCTGAAATAGAAAAACTGTTTGTAGCTTCAATGTAGCTTCACGACGTTTGGAATGCCAGTTTACAGAGAAATCAGCTCTGTACAAATTGAGCTGTTTCACGCTGAAAAAAAAATGCGCCATAAAAGAAAGTAAGATACCGGAAACGCAAACTAGCAACAGAACTTTTTTTTCGTTTTTTTCTACATGATTGGATAGAGCTACGTCGAGCTGATTCAGAAAATACACGTTTTGTTGTTTGAAAACAAATTTTCATGTCAAAAAAATTGAAAATATTAAAATTTTCGAAAAACACTTCAGTTTCAAAAACACTCAACTTTTTTGTCTTTTTCGCTAGTCTAACTTTTTAAAAACGTTTTTTCAGATTCAACATTAAAAACTAAGTATGCATCTGATGTTCGATCGAGACTGAAGTCAGAGGCCTATCCGGTATGGACGCCTTGGACTCTTCCTGTAAAAAATTCATTAACAATTTTGCAAACCTATCTTCTTTTGTGAAGAGATGAGGCTGATTTTCATACTTCATTAGAACCGCTATTAAACGAACTTTAAAAATATAAATTGCTCGTTTTTTTCTTTTGTTTCGCCACTGAAAAAATTAATATTTCCAAGATCAGAAGCGAAAAAAATCGGAATTCTACCCGTAATTCTCAATTGTCCCCATCAGAACTCAACTTTTATCCAACAGAAATATTATATTCAGAATAAGCGGTAAAAACTGAGCCGAATGATACACTTTTTTTTATCATATCTAACCATTTTATGTTTTTCGAGTTTACACATCGATTTTCAATTCTTAGTTGGCTTTTGTGAGTCAGAGCTAAACCCAGAAAAAGTTTCCTCACAAATTACTTTTGTCCACCGGTATTTAAGTTCTTCAGCGAATATATTTATATCAAGGTCCCGTTTTTATCGATCTGACGCGGCGAAGGCGAGCCATCCTCTCAACTACTATTTATTGGGTAGATATAAAAACAGAACTCGGGATTACGTAGAAGTGTCACATGACTCGTTTACACTTCTCAGTAGGGCTACCTATAACTTTTGATATATAACATGAATTTGTTTTTTTCAGAATTTAGCATCATATATTACTATTATAGTAGTTCAAAGCTACAATGAGAAATTAAAAACAGTTGCGCTGTCTTCTTTATTTAGACCAATTAGGAGAATTTGTTTCTTCGAATTTTAATCCTATGAATCCACTTTTTCTGCGCACAATATTTCGCGCTTCATAGGAAACTATAAATTGGATTAAAATCCGAAGAAACAAATTCTCCTAATTGGTCTAAATAAAGAAGACAGCGCAACTGTTTTTAATTTCTCATTGTAGCTTTGAACTACTACAATAGTAATATATGACCTTAACCACTGAGGTGAAGAGCGTTGTTTAAATTTATTTGCATGTTTCCTCAATACACAGCGTCATAGATGTACTGGGATGAGTCTACTGTTACTAAATGTAATACGAGCGTTGAAGTGAAAAACACCATTCTTCGTTAAGCAAAGCGAGAGAAAAACGAGAAGAAACATAGTCAAAGGAAATCTCATAATGCGATCTATTGAGTGAACGTATTTCAGTTTTCTGTAACATGTGACTAACTTGATAGCGTTAATCAATAATTAAACATGTGAAAATAAATAGTAGTTTAGAGGCTCGCCTTCGCCGCGTCAGATGGATAAAAACGGGACCTTGACATAAATATATTCGCTGAAGAACTTAAATACCGGTGGACAAAAGTAATTTGTGAGGAAACACTTTCTGGGTTTAGCTCTGACTCACAAAAGCCAGCTAAGAATTGAAAATCATCACAATATACTTCGTATCAATCGATTAACGAAAACTTTGCTGTGACTAAATTTCTTTCAACTCTGTAGGTCTAAATTTAATCCAGAACCTTTTAAGCCGTTGTCCTTTTGCCCTTATCGTGTGCTTGGACGAATGGACAACATTTTGGTGAAAATCGTTTGCTAAAAGATTACTCCTCTCCTGAGTTATGGTTAAATCAAAAAAAGTTTCGATCGTACGGAAAATTTTTGCAGCGGCAGTATAAATTTCTTTTGCTATGTATTAAGTATGTGATGGTTGGAAAGTGCAAGGAGTACACCTTTTCACGTATTGACGTTCTTTTGTGCAGTAGAGCTGAAAAACGATATTATCAATGTTTTTGTTTTTTTGTTCAACAGTCACTCACAACTAACTACAGTAGGGCTTAGTATTGAATAGTTATACGAGCATACTGCATTTCGAATACAACAGTTGATCTTGATCGACAATTGTTAAAAATTATTTGTCTTTCTTCGTATCGCTTTTTTGAACATCGATATGAGTAGCAGATGTCGTCTCACTTGTTGTTGTTTTACCAGATTGTTCATTTGAAGTACCAGCTGACGATGATGTCAAAGTATTTACAACATCGACAGTGGCATCTTTAATATCGATTGCTGTTTGAATCAGAGCATCTTTAACACCAGCAGCTTTCTCTTTGTATTCAGCCGGGACACGTTCTCTTAAATATTCACTCGCCTGACCAAATGCTTGTTGAATCGTGTTTCTCGCTTCTTCGGCTTGGTGAACAACAACATCCTTCGTGTCGATACCCAATTCTTTCACAGTATCAACAAATTTCGACTCGGGAGTTTTGTCTGCTGATGATGATATGTCTTAAGCGAAAAGATAATAAAAAACAAGATCAGCCCAGCCAGTTGTTCGAGCGGTACTTCGAGTAGCAGTGGGAGAGAAATCGTCAAACCGAAATTATGTTCGTCCCACGAGAATTTTGCTCAGCAACCAGCACAACCTACTTCTGAGTGGCGAAAAAACTGCGATATGTCAATTTTGACTTTTCCCTCAGTCCCGCACGGGAATTATACTCCTTTGTGTGAGAATCATGCTCAAACAAGAAAACAGCAGAATTTTGTATCTCTACATAGAAATTTTATTGCCTAGGTAACGAGCCTCGTAAAAGCATTATTGAATAATGCTTTTACCACAAGAATTATACTGTTTTCCGAGAGAATTATGCATCTAGTCTAGAAAGAATTATGCTCTCTACACGAGAATTTTGTCTGTCTTCATAATGCTTTTACACGTGAACTATGCTGTTTTGTGCGAGAATTATGCCTAAATCTAAAATATATTATGCTCCCTTCACCAAAATTTTGTCTTTCTTCATAGAAACTTTATTACCTAGTCCTCGAGAATAATGCTTTTACAAGAGAATTTTGCTGTTTTCTGCGAGAATTATGCATCTAGTCTAGAAGGAATAATGCTTTCTACACGAGAATTTTGTATCACTTCACAGAAACTTTTTCTTGCCTAGTCCACGAGAATAATGCTGTTTTCTGCGGACGTCCCGAACATCTGTATTCGACAGCTCGAAATTTTTCTCGAGGGCTCGCTACCTATCTAAAATCCGAGGGGTCGAAATCGATACCCCACGAAAGCTTATATCGAGGGTCCGAAGTGCCATTTTCCTAGGGGTCAAGCCCTCGGCAAGGATCTGTTTTCGAGTACTCGCCGCAGCCCTCAAACGACTTTTTTCAACTGCATGGGAGATACTTATGTTTTATAGCTTTATTCTGTCAGAATACAAGCGGAAGAATATTCCATTATAGTATTCTAACTAAAACTATCGAAAAACACAAAATCAATTTTGTACGAATAGAGATTCGAACATGTGAACTTAGCTTTGTAGTAAACTACAAAACTAAATTCACCGTTCTGTATCTATATTCTGTACAACGATTGAAGTTGTGTAATCGACTC